ATATATAACTTTAATGCACAGAAATTTTAGTTGCATATCATAGACACATTTGTTATGTGTGTAATACATTCTTTTATTTAAAAAATAAGTAAGAAATTTATCAGCATAACATATTGCTTCTCACTTAATGCTCAACAATCATGATTAATAATCTGATTAGCACTTGTTATAACTAAAAATTCTTCCAGTATTTTTTCTGAGAAAGTATTATACTGATGTTCGGTAGAGTTAAATCATGTTCAGATATAAACACAATCCAGTGTATTTTCACTTTTCTATGGTTACTAAGAAAATAATGTGATTTTTTGTCAGAGAACAAATGATGAGATCTTAATCTGTAAAGAAAGCCTCTCACCTTAAGGAAAGGACATACCTACCTTGAGTTTTTGTTCCTCTGAAGAAGAAACAGAAACTTGAGAGATTAATCTTTTTTGCAGGATATGCTTCCTAGGTCAACAGCTGAGTAATTTTTTACCTTCACTATCTATGCCACTTTTAACAGTGTTTTTAGTGTACAGAACTAAGATATTTTTAATCAAAACTTATTTCCTAAATGCTTGAACTCTATTTGTTCTATGATTGATCTATATTACATTTACTCTTCGTATATTTCTTTGAAATGCCATTACCTTACTTTTCTTGATTTACTATGAAGATTTCTATTCCCATGATACTTTGTTCATTGCTTCCATAAATGCTCTTTGTAGCAGATACGTTTTTGAGAATTATGTCAAAATGTGAAATAAAGAACATCCAACTAACTATACAAATTTTAATGATTCATTTTCCAAGACCTAATTCTATGGAGTACCAAGATCAATTCATAAAAAAATCAACATGAGTTATATGCTTTATTGAATTTAAAACTCCTGCTAGTCATGTCAATTGTAAGCAACCTCATAATGAAACTAAAATAAGCGACTTGCTTCAACAACAAATTTTGTTTAATAGATTACTATCTAATGCTTCAGAAGTCACTGATATTTTAAAGAAATAATATTGTTAGAAATTTTCATTAGAATAGAATTACAAATTAAAATGGAAAATAAATTCAATCGAAATGCATTTCATATTACATGAAAAGTGTACTGACATATTACATGCTCAGAATTATTTCTTCAATATTTCATTCTTTAGCAGCTAAGCTAGCCATAATTGTGTTAAGGTTTCAGTTTCAGACTAACTCAAATCAATAAAATTTATTCTTTTGTAATTTCTCTTCTTGTATTTTACTACTCATTTGCATTATTATTTTGACTTGAAGTTTGTTAAGCTGCCTAAAGTTACTATCCTGCTTTACATCTACACCAATCACTGACTTCAGAACCCAATTAAGGAACATTCACGCAGAAAGCAAGCCTGCACAATTATCTTGGATTTTCTGTGTAATTTTTATAAATTGAATTCAGACTTCTTATCCAAAGAATGAACAATTTGCTGTCAAGCTTTCTATTTCAAAAGCTATCATATATTTGTGGTATTATAGTAGATATAAGAGATATATCAACCTTTTTTCAATGTTGTCTTTTTATTTTCTTTCCACTGCATAATCATAATTCTTTATTTCTAATCTGGCCATTGAAGTCTCCAGACACTGCCATAGAGAGAAGTTTTATATTTGAAATGTGTTTTGTTGGGTTGTATTCTTATCTAGCACAAATATTCCTTTAGTCATTGAAAATGTTTTTCTAGGGTTAAGCTAGCTAGCATTAAATGAGCCAATAATCTATTGTATCTGATTACAAGAGCCCAGAAGTTCAGGCATTTATTTTTACTAAAATAGGCATGCAAAACACACAGTTTTTCTGACTAAATATTGGTGGAAACACAGGAAACTTTGAAAAATTACCATTTAAAAGTAATTATTGTGAAAATAATTAAAATGATTCAAATTTTGATCTAACTAAAATTTACGTTAGCACTTATATGGAAGGAAACTATCTTCTCTTTGTAATCTTGATTGACCATGACCATTCAGTATGACAAGTACAAATTTATTATTACCCATGACGCTGTCTCAATGAAATGCTATTGTGGATCTTGAAATGGTATCAGTGAAAAACTAATTACAGAAGTAGTCCTTTGCCCTTGTGTAATCGCCAGAAGAGAAGAGAGAACAAAAAGGAACAAAGAAGGGTACATCATGTACAGACAATTCTGTCCTCAAATGGATCTGAGGCCACTATACTCATACAAGGAGATTCCTTGTGAGCAAACAAGTCTATAAACATCAATGAAAAATCTTCCAATATCATCTACCTTTAAGTTTTTATACAGAACCTGTCAATAGAGCCTCTGTATCCACAGTAAGACAATACACGACTGTGACTTCATGTTGTCTAGGCTTGCAGGTGTTTTCCTGTTTGATAGAGATTGGTGTCAAGGAAAAGGAAAATAAGAATGAAAAAGGCACAAATAAGGCAAAATTCCAAATATAGGTAAAATGAAAATCCACTAAAACAACTCTTAGAACTACAATTAAGTGATTCCCATTATAAAAAATCATAAAATCAGAACATTGGCATTTAGCCAAACTTGCGATCTCTATTGATTACTAAGGCCTTTTGTACATTACACCCATTCTACAGTCAAACAAATTTTTGTAACACACATCAGACTCATACATGAGTATGATACTATATTTTTATTATTTATAATTTGGTCTCCATAGTATGAGAAAGACTAGACTTAAAAAAGTGCAAAGGCATATAACCATAATTTTCATGGGAGAAATCATTTTTATTAGGTAAAAAAAGATGCCAAAAAATGTCACTTTAGAACAGATGACTAGAAGAGTCATTATTAGAGGCTCATAAAATGATTGATGATATTCCTAGGTCCCTGAATTTGACACCTTCACAAGATCTTTGAACCCAAAGCTAAGGGAACATACTAAGAACGAAACAAGGATTGGACAACATATTTTTCTGTAAACTGGTGAGTAATATGGGATCAGCTACATGCACTCTGCATTGAAAAAGAAAATCGCATCTTGGACCCCTAGCGTTCAATCTTTATAAATGACCTACCACGGTATAGGTCCAATAGTCAGTATCAACTTCATGCAGATGACACGAAATTGACTAAGGTTGTTAACACTGATGATGATGCTTTGTTCCTGTGAGATCTTTATAATTAGCAGACAAGGTGCAGGGAAAATGACATGAGGTTAAATGTGGGGAAATACTTTGTTATGTCATTTACTATAAAAAGGAATAAAATAACTGCAGATTATGAAATTGAAGATGAAACTTTAAGATTATGTTAGTAATCTGAGTGTCATGTTTGATGGTAAGCTGCCTTTTGGGAACCATATTCAGATCATTATTTCTAAGGCAATGAACATATGGGGTATGGTCTTGGAGAACTCTATGCAGTTTTGATCTGCTGTGACCCATTTGGCTATCTATTGAGCACTCTTGAATAAGCATGACCAGTGTGGAACCCATTTACAAAATTGAGAATATTAGCCATTGAAAGAGTTCAACACAAGCACCTGACAATGGCCCCAGACAATTATGACTATGTCATTCCCTTTAGATCTAAATTAAATAATCTTCATTGTAGAAGAAAGCATGCTGATATTTATTTCCTATGTGATATTTTGTTGGATAGAATAGACTGCGCTGAAATTCTTTCTTGCATACCATTTAGAGAACCAAAGTGAATCTTTAGAAGAACAACTTCCTTTTTAGTTGACACTTCTGCGAGTGTCCTAATGAGGTGATGAATCGCATTTGTGGTTTGGTCATTATTAGAGGTAGTAGGGCTCATTAGTAAGTACCCTGTATATATTAATATTAATTTCAAGTAAGAAGCAGTGATGCCTGCACAGCTGATCAAGGAAGATCCATTTTGGTGAAAATCTTGAGTGTGATTTCAGCACTAGTGTGTATTGGACAGTGATACCTGAAGAAAAACAACTTGTTCAGTACGAGAAGAACTCGCAAAATGTGTATTCCTAATACTCTATGAATTACTCAGGAGCCAGGATAACACAACTTTCAGGTACCAGGAACCTGCAAAACTTGTTTCTGTCAAAAAATTGGTACTTTCCTGCAACATTAAGTAACTTTCTTTTCATTAATTAAGTAATTTATTTAATTAATGTCTAAAAAACAGTTAAAATATGTGATGTACGACGAGGAGAAGTGCAATCTAAGCATGTTTTTTTAAGTTCTGGAAATTCTCTACCTTAACTGTTAAGTGTTTAACTTGAATATAAGTCAGTTTAAATACTGTAGAATTTATGTGAAAATTAAAGTTTGTTGCTGAAAATGAAAAATATTAATGTTTAAAATGCAAAACCATGCCTAAAAAAAGGGGGAGACACCCTGGGGAATGTTTTCAATTGGTGAGTTTGAAGGCAACTTTGGAAGATATTGTTAGCTTGCATTAGTATGTATTTTCCAGAATGATGAAATTTAAAGGGTATATTCAACAAGTAGAAATAAAAATACATTTTCAGAACATGATTTATATTTTTCTAAGTTTTGCTATTGGTTCTATCACATGCTAACAATATTCTTACAGATAGAATTTTAGCATTCATTTTCAGAAACAGTTTGTATAATTCATAGCCAGATGTATGGCACATGTACAAAGTTGGTGGCACAATCAGTTTAAAAGTTAATGAAATTACATCCAGGCATCATGTAGATAAATATACTTTGTAAATATACATAACAAAACACAAACATTATGAATGCACTTAATGTGAGCACACTGAACATTTAGTGTGAACACATCCCATGTGCATTACGAACACACTGTTCCAAACCATCCAATTGAATTTGACCCCAATTCCAATGTTGAAATTACTACCATTCCCTCAATGCCAATACACACTGTACACATCTCCAATCTCTCATAAAAATGTAAGGAATATGAAATGGAAATTGGAATTCATGATGTTTATAAAAGAAATCGATTAAAAACTCTGAAAAAAAGGTTCTACGTCAGAACCTTTTAAAATGTTCTGGACATTAAAAGAAATGTTTTTAATGACATAAAAACATATTTCTCTCTCCTTTTAGGCATGTTATTAAGTGGGAACAAAAAAAAAAAAAATCATCGTATTCTGAAAAAAGATCTTTCTTATATTCCTCTTGAGATGTTAAGAGATACAAATTCATCTTCACATTTGTCAGTGTCATTAAACACTTATTACTTAATATTGGAGCAACTTTTATTCTATTGCAAATTTTGTGTGCTCTATGTTGGATGGTTACCAATTTATGGAACTTTCCAACTATGTACTCTTATGTAGGTATTAGATGACCAGAAGGCTACTTTTAAAAAACAATTTTGGCAGTGCATTGTATGATTATAATTAACCTATTATTCTATCTGTTCTAGTGGTCTGTAATGCAAGTTTAATTTGTATTCTTGGCATTCAGTACAGGATACTGACATTTAACATACAAAATAAATACATTATTTTGATGTAAAACCATATCCTATTTTGATCACAACCTTGCAAGAACAAACACTCTAACTGTACTTCAAAAACCCACGTTAATGTATGCAAAATATCTACAATAGTGTGAACCTGTGGTGTTTGAGCAGTTACAAGAATCAACATACTAAGAACACACTGTAACACATTCATTCATTTCAGTCATGCTTAACCATTGTACAACAACTGTTTCCAGTCATACAAGCTATTTGACAGTTTTATCCAGTCAAAAATCATTGGTATAAAATGAGCAAACAGGTCTTTATTTGTATTGTTGCCCAATATTAATGTAACTCTTGGCCAGTCCACTCAGAACATGCTGTAAATTTATTAAATGAAGACACTAGTATAGAAAAATAGAAATCCTTCAAACAGAACTATTGACTCAGTTCTTACAAGCGTATGGTGCTCAACATGTCTGCGAAGCTGTCCAGTATTTAGACAGTTAATGTAATGTGTCCCGAGATCTCTGGACAACAGTTACTTCCCTAGCACAATGTAAAAAATAATCTGCGACTACTTTCCTCCCTGAGAACATCTAGGAGGTCACATTACGATGGCAAAGCAGGCTCATACGCTGCCATCACATTGCTCCTTTCTAATTCCCTTTGCCGCACAGCAACGGCGGTTTCCACAAGCAGGTACAGGCACTTGAATTTATCATCTTCCGCTTCTTCTGGCGGGGTGGGTGGAGGAGTCTCTTGTGCAGCACTTCGGGGAGAGAAGCTGCCTGTGCATGCTGTGTGTGGAACAGCCCAGTAATCTGTTCCAGAATGTGTCACCAAGCCATCTGACATCACAGTTTCACTGAAAAAATAACCCACATTAAAGTCATTAATCTACTATGAATGCTCAATTTCAATGCTTCAATATCCACAGACTATTTTAATTCGAAAGCTTTCAGGTACTTGTGAGGCAACATAGGTTATAATTCAGCAGATCATGAAGAGAGAAGAGAATAAAAATAATTGACGTAAATAATGACTTCCTGTAACTGGAAAAGAACTGTCTTGAATCACAACGGTTTCAAGACATGAATGGACTTTCTCAATTTAAAATCCATTTTATTCTAGGGTAGTTTCGTAAAGTTTCTGGATTTTTGAACCAACAACAAAATCTCTTCTCTTTAACTCAAAGAAAGATGATGTGGGCAATGGAAAGAAGTATAGACACAGGTATGTTTTCTTCTCTCCACATTATTTCCATTAACATTTTATGACTTTATAAAAGGAACACAGTTTTGATGATCGCATTTTAATTAGATACAGAAGGTGCAATTCTTTGTCAATGGTTTACGTTCCTTTCCTTGTGCTTGAGAACTCATCAGATCAAACTAACTTCCATTTGCAAAATTAAACCATTCGAACATGAAAAGGGAACAAAAGAAGGCAGGAAAGAAGAAAGAGGGAGGGGGCTCACCAGGTCTGCGCGGCGAGCGGCGCGTGCGCGTGCGCGGGCGCGTCCTGGTCACCGCAGCCGTAGCGGCACACGATGACGCCGGGCCAGGGCGCGGGGGCGGGCGCGTGGGCGGGCGCGTGGGCGTGGGCGAGCTGGGGCGCCAGGGCGGCGGCGGCAGGGCCCTCTTCTGTGTCGCTGCCGCGGAGCCAGCTGCGTCCTAGTCGCGGGGCTGCGCTCGCACTGGCGCTCGGCGCGCGCTCAGGCTGGGCTGGGTAGGCTGCCAGCTGTGGCTCGCGGGCATAGGGTAGGGCTGGGCTGGGGCTGTCTCGTGCCCAGGTAGAGCGCGCGGCGTAAGCGCCAGCGGGCCGCCGGTCGTCGGCTTTATCGTCGTATCGTGGTCGCGGACGCCGCGCCCCCGCAAGCTTCCGCCCCCGCCCCCGCCACCGGCCCCTTCCCAGCGCGTGCGTGGTGCCGTGGCCGCCCGCCCGCCGCCGCCCCCGCCCAGCCCAGGTTGTGCCGAGCGCAGGCCGCCGCCGCCCCCGCCCGTCTTCTTGCCGCGTCGCGAGATGGTGTAGTGCTGCGGGTCGTGGCCCTCGCGCCGGATGATCTCCGGCAAAATGCGGCGCCGGGCGTTGATGAACCAGTTGCACACCTGCAAAGCGACAACAAACGCTTGGTGAGGGGCGCTACCCTGCTCTTTCGAAGCCTTGCGTAGCAACGGAACTCTGGGATTTGTTGCAGCAATATTTCAAAATCGATTCTTTAGAAAATCTTTTAATGCAGATATCATTATTTCTTCTAAACGCGTGTTTATGTGTACATCCCTTGCATTTTGCAATACCTTTTAATTACACTTGGTTGTCCTTCATTCAACCGACAAAAAATGAGGACGAACTACATCCGACTTCTCCCCTGCCATTGGGCGCGCAATTCCAATATTCTTCGCTGCACCGATACACGCGCTGCAACCACAGAGTAGGAACTGGTAGTTCTGCAATGTCGTTCCTATTCAGTGATGCAACTCCGCCGAGAGAAGGGTGCAGCGGCGGAAAAATTTTCCTGCTTCGAGTCGCGCAAGTTCCCCTAGATGTTGCAGCCATCGAGCCGATACTAATCGCCGCCGACCTCGCCCCTCGACGTACAACCGCTGCAGCGCGAACCGGTGAGGCGCAGACTATTTGAATTGTGCGCCCGGAAGCAGGAAATTACCTTTCCCTTTCTTAAACGAAAATTTTCGATGGGATTGATCAATTCTTCCTCGCATAATGCTAAACCTGTTCAATTCTATGCAATCTGCTCCTTACATTTCAACATTACACCAAAAATTAGTTGAATTTACATTGATAAAGAAAACAAAAACGTTTTTCTATAGGGTCACCTACCACCTTTCACTATTAACTTATATCTTTACTAGCCCTAAAAAATACCTTGAAGCGAAAAGTAGTCTAGATCTAACAGGATACGTGGCAATTTTGAAACACAATATAGACGAACAGGCACTGTTTACTATTACATATATTTAAACAGAAAGTATTTTAAAAGCACCGAACTTTTCTTTGTACGAGTAGCTCATGCTAATGTTATAAATATGCATTATTACAAAATCTTACAGGCGCAACGACGATATATTAAAAACTAACAAAATTCAAATATTACCTGTAATACAGTGAGGCTGGCCTCTTGTGATAAAATCGCCTTTTCCGCGTCACTAGGATACGCATTGTATCGGTGCTCGTACAACCAGCGTTTCAGAATCTTGACCGAATGTTTGGGGAGATTACCACGCCTCTTCCGAACTGTGCCATGTCCAGAATGGCAGATACTGTGGTTTGAACTGGTGCGCCGCCCAGCTGGTGTGCCTGATCCCTCCACATCCGAGCAGCTGGAGTCTTGGTCATCTGAGCCACTGCTGGACGGGAATCTAGCTGCAACACACATAATGAGAACATTAAACACACCGTCAGGTACAGAGTTTATAAACAATGGGTTCCTACGACCTCGCAAGGCAACGAGGCTCTGTACAAATAATTCTGCAATATTCGTAAGTCTACAATTCTGGCCAATATTCAAATATTTTAATAAGCGCAGATAATAAAAGTACAATAATATCTTTAATTTGTTTCTTAATGCACTTTGCAATCATAGTTCAAAAGTTAATTTGATCGATTGCCATTTTCTTTAATTCAACAGAATCAAGTACCCTTGATAAGATTTCAGAAACTTCTCGTCAACGAGACAGGCTTGAATAGTGAATTGAAGTATAATATAAAAAAATAGGGAGGAGCATAAGAAAACGCAAAGGTAACATATCTTTTAAAAAAATATAACGAGAAGGAATTAATTTTATTATGTGAATTGAATGAAAAGAGCTTTTAATCCATCTCTTCAGAAAATAACAAATACATTTCAAGTTCTCGCCCTACATAAAATTAAAATAAAAAAAAACTATCAGCTAGACTTTTGTTGTTGTTGGCAGTACCTTTTTGAACTAAAAGGGATGAGTACCGGTGAGTATGAGCAATAATTATATAAAATTTCAAATTATATAAATAACGCGCAATTACAGCGAACAATAATTTCTTCCATATTGAAGAGAACTCCAGTGTCTTCAAACACTTTACATAATACACAATTGCTTTTTGTCTTTTACATAACTTTCTTCTCAACATGGAAAAATGTTTTCAAAGGTCATTGAATTTCTTTATTGTGAAATATATCAAATTAGGAAAGTATGTCGGAATTCTTTTAATTCCGATTAATTTCTTCGATGAACTACTCTTTTTGCGCCCACGGAATGATGCAGCAAACCTCCACGTATTAAGACAATAGGGTTTTCCAAACAGTGAATAAAGATCTTTTAACAATGCAAGTTTGACATAGAATGTCATCGGGCTTCAGAAGATTCACAGTACGAGCATTGTACACCAAGGCGACAATAATGCCGGTCATTACGCGACCTTGAACGACGAGCCTCCAGAAGGTTGTCTCTGGTCACGAAGCGCAAGATTGTATAGCGTTACAAAATACAGGGCAGATAACGAGAAAAACCAACGGAAGACAAAAATAAGATCACCATTAAGGGTTTAAGACTAATAGTTAACTTGTAAGAAGAATCTTAAAAAAGCAACAAATTTTTATTTAAAGAAAGCTGGACAGACCAATTGCCAATTGTATACTCTTGAAAAGATAAGTTACGCAACGTTGCATCACATGACTAAATGCTTTAAATATAAAATTAACCAATTACGTCAGAAATTGAAAGCAACTCTAAAAACGAATTGGCGAGGATTTCCACGATATAAATTTTTCCGCGAGTTGTTTTTTCTTTCTTCGAGATGGAAACCAACAACAAAGTTTGAACAATTTGGTTACTCAGCAGTTAAATAAGACGCGCCCACAATTCGAATGATTTTCTATACTGCGAGGAGAGGGATGTCGCGAAGGTTCAAAATCAATTATTCCCCTTTACTCCACAGATATAAATCATTGCTTTTCCTCTTTAATAAATTGATTGTGATTAATAAACATACAATTTTGTACATACTACGTGTGCGTGCGAACCGTAGCAATGATACACACATTAAAATATTTTAGACAAGGCTCAAGAATAACGCGTTTGGCATTCCCTTAGTTTTAGAGGTACATTCAAATATAAATATCTTATTAAAATTTTGATTCAATTGAGACTGAAATGCAATGAGGGAGAGATTAGGTGTGTGCAAAAATGCTAAAGTAAAACGAGGTTTCATAAAGAACTCTACGGTTATTCTTTAAGTGCTTCCTCTTTGTTCTTACACAGCATCTCAACAAGACACAATCACAATCCCAGCCACTGTAGCGGACCTAGAAGTGTTACGAAAATCCATGTAAATACGAAGTGAAATAATCAAAACTGAAAGATATTTTACTCTCTGCAGTTTAAGTTGTTGGATGAATGGTTTGTTTCGTTTTTAAGAGGATGTCTGAGGGATGTAGGTATGCATGTTAAGTACAAGCTGTAAAATATCTTCCAAATTGTGAACCAAAGCGGAGAGAAAAGTGTTCCTGACTCCTAGTTTGTGCAAGTTTGTAATTCGCAGTTATTTAGGTTCATACACAGCACGGTCTACAAGGTGCAAATCTTAAAAAAAATAATTTTTACATTAATTTCGATTCGACCAACAGCGATTTTATTCCTTCAAAAATCGAATATCCATCTGCTCCAGGCGTATGGGGTCGCCTTCTTCGAAGGTGATAATGAAGGAAGAAGAAAAAAAAACCATGCGTTCTTCCAAAAGGAGAGTAAAGAAAAAAATTAGGCAAGATTTTAGACGAAGTTAACACTTCGTCCGAAATAAATAATTCCAGTATGAAATGTGCACACACAATGAACACTCACTCAAGAGATCGCCGAATAATCCTTCAATTTCAAATGATGCATTCAAAGAAACATCAAGGTTTTTCGAATATCTGCACACACAAAAAATCTACTTCTAAAATATCTGTATGAGGTCGTGTAAGTTATATTTACGAACTGCGCACGCTTTATTTGGAACATTCTGCACGGCCAGATCCATTAAGAGCCCTTTTGTTCCCAAATTCGCCCACCCTCGCTCCGCCCTTCCAGCGCGGTGCAGCGGCGGGATGGAGGTGATCGGGGGGAGCGAAAGCTGCTTTAGGGCGGGCGATAAGAGCCCTGGCCGATCTCGGATTCCTGCGTCCGTCTGTCCGCCCGCCCGCGGGTCCAGCGCGCGGGTGGGCGGGCTGGCGAAGGCGCCGCCGCGGCTGCCGGCCCTCGCTAATTCTAGCCCCCAGGGCCACAGAACGCGCACGCGCGCGCGGGCTATTTCAAGGGGCTCCCGCCGCGCGCCGAAAGGTTAAACGCTACCCACTACTACTCCTATTCCACTCGCCACCAAACGAGTCACTACTACTAATCGCTTCAGGCTTCCCAGGCGACACTGCAGGCGCATACCTTTGGGGGCCCCCTTACCCCTATGTATCATGAAGTTCAAATGAAACTTCTGATCTTACAATTGCAAGTGATGAAAATGGTACGTACTAGTTTGAATTACAGCTAAGATAAACACGCACAAAGCAAGCCGGAGTGAGTTTTTATAATGTAAATTTTTACATTAAAAAATAGTAAAAATTACATGACTGCTTTTCCTTCGCTTCTTTGATCTATTGATACTGTTGAGAGAGACTACAATATTATCTGCATCTATAATATTTTCCGAACGATGAGGATAACCTTCGCATCTTGTGCGCAATATGCGACAACATGCGATATCAACAGCGCACAGCTGACCAGCAACGTATTCCAAACTAAAGATCTAATATTACAACAAGATTGTTTTCGCTTTCTAGAAAATTCTACTTATTTTTAAGATCCACGAAATACAAATGTCCACTGGAGAGTAAAGAAATCTTCAGACTATCTCTTACAGATTTGCACCGACGTGCTACAACTTGAAAACCACAGCGGTGCAGTACCAATTCTCGCATAATATTTTCATCTCATTTGGTTCCCCTTGGAAATATTTCTATGCGATCGAGATGACCCGCATCGAAGAAGAGGAATGGATGAACACTGAACCTTGTACAGCAACAGGAAACAGGTGAATGCGCACCCGAAACAGAACGGGCTCAGTGCGAAAGCGCCAACGCTAAACCAACTGCGCGTCAGGCGCGACTGCGTTCTCAATTCTAAGCAGCGAGCGAGCATTCGCTCCCCCTCCCTCGGCACAGATTTGAGGCATGCAACACCCCCGCGACAAGGCTCCTGTCGCAGCGCGAAGGTTTGCGATGCCGAAACAAATGTCAACTGCAAGGAGGTTATGAACGGATGGCGCGCTTCGGGATCGAAGAGGACGTGCTTTGCTCGGGCTGGAAAATGTCGTTAAAGATACTACTCGATTTCAGGAATAAATGTGCTCGATTAGATGTGTAGCATGCGAAGAATACAGGTCAAATATATTCGGCACTTTAGTAAATACGTACCGGACAACCGACTGGCGAAGGAATACTTAGCACAAATTTAATTGCGTTTCTTAGTCCACGATACTCAATTTTCCCCGAATCAAAACCCCGCGAAATGTCCTCCAGGTGAAGTAGAATTAGTTGTCAATATGTATCGACTAACACTGATCTCATGAACATGGCACATTTACTTAAAAGTGTAATAAAAATTATACTTATAATGCACTGTTCAGAGAACATCTTTATAAAGAGAAAATGTCTACTTGAGCATACTTATGTAACTCTTGTTAGTATGATTTCTATCTCAAATTTCAGACAAGGAAAGTATACAGGCCCCAGATGTTCAAGTTGGGAATAAAAATACATTATTAATAATACGTAGGTTGTGTTTTAAATTTAATGGAACGTTTCCCCCTCCCCCCAAAAAACTCAATACGAAATTATATACCATTACCCTTCCGATGATTAACAATAAAAAGTCTATCCATACATCTCATCTAAGCCGACATAAATCGTCTATGAACCTTGCATTTGCAAGTTATTCTTAAGAAAATGACCGACTACTTTGACGTCTATAATGAATGTCAGCCCAGAATCTAATGTCAACAAACATCTGCTTCTCACGCGATTTGTTCGGAAAAGCCAAGTCTTAAATCAAAGCAAATATTAGTTCATCAGAACTTGCCGAATTCCGAGACTGATATAATAATTTTGTAGTAGCATTGGATGATCTACAGATTTGGTAAGGAGTAGTGGTCACGGGCAAGTAGTTGCTTTAGCGTAAAATATTCGAAGCTCGTGTCTACGAGCTTTACCAATGCATTACTTGAAAGTTTCCAGTTTCCGGAATGAGGTCTTTCTATTATGCATTTCTAACGTCACTATTATATCGATTACTTGCAAAACGAGGCAAAAATACTCGGATGTCATCCAATCACATTTTACGTACGTTGCAAGTGACAGC